AGAAAAGAAAAGAAAAGAAAAGAAAAGAAAAGAAAAGAAAAGAAAAGAAAAGAAAAGGACTGCCTGTTCATCCCCTTCTCCTGGGAGAAATGATACATGGGCAGCTCTTACATACTGTACAGACAGGTCCATCACTGATATCAATGATCTTTTATAGTTCATCTTCAAGAATCATTATGAAATCCTTCAACTTCATTTTTGCCATTTACAACTATGTTTTTACATTTTGCTGCTATACATAGAATGGATTGACTACAAAATAAAATTCCTCATATGCATTACGGCTGTAAAGACATCACTTCCAAGTTCCCAACTTGTTATGCTTTGAAATGGAAAATGGCATGAGTATCTGACAGTGCTAACTGTTGCTTTGGGAAATATGAGTGCACTAGTCCCTGGGTTAAGAACGTCCGGGTAACAGACGATCCATAGTTAAAAACGGAGCTTACTGTAGCAAAATTTGAGTTAAATACACAATGATTTGAGTTAAATACAAAATGGTTCAAGTTCATTACATATACTTGTAATGAAATACTACTTATGCAATATTATACAATAATACTGTTTCAGCTTACGTACAAATTTGACTTAAGGACAGACCTTGGAAATGGAACTCATTCTTAAACTGGGGACTACCTGTGTCTAGAATTTTGACTTCTCTTCTGTGTGTTCCTGTTGAAAGCGAAACTATCCATGCAAGCTTTCTTTCCCAGAGACTCTGTTTTGATTTACGTTCCTTTCCTTGTCTCCTGGTTATCTACTCAGACTTGAAAAAAATTGGTATTCGCACCTAGCAACTGTTTGTGAGTTTTAACCTGAAACAGGTCACGGGCAAAGAATTTTTTGAGGTAATAAACCTTGCTTACACTTCAAACTCAATGCGCTGGCTTCTTGCTAAAAGATTTTAACACTTCTCTAATTGGCACCTAGAGAAGGTTATGGAAAAGAGACCTATTACATTGTGCATGTGTTCTCCTTTAATAAATACCCCTACTTTACCAGAGCTGTGCAACAATAAGTATTTCCAATATTCCCAATTGCAGTCATGTGTGAACTAATGATCAAAGCAAGTGGAAAATGCTTTGAATGCATGTTCAAAAAGTAGTGATTGACTATAAGTGGACTCATAAAATTAAAGGACTTGAACATGATAGTTGTGGGAAACCTGAGATCAAGCAATCAAAGACTGTATATGTTAAAGCTAGCACTTTGAATTGTGCCTAGAAACCTATCAGAAGCCAATGCAAGGTTATAAAAATAGTATTATATGATTGTAAAGGCATTCACCTACCAGACACAGACCACTGCATTACCAACTGTGATGGAATGGTATGGCGAAGGCTGCACTCGGGGAGATAAGCATTTCCTTAGCCCCCAGAATGAGCGTGGAAAGGTGAAGAGGATGAGGCTGGCAGCACCTTAAGGAATTCGCAGTGTTTGCTTGCTGGCTTGGGAAGTTTAGATTCAGTCTGGCGAGATTCTGTCTTGTAGGTGGAAGCTAATAAATGCAATAGAACTGTAACTGTACTGTCTCGTGGAATTCTTTGGGCTGAACCTGACATCAATCTCACCAACTCAATGCATGTCTTGAAAACCTCCCTATGTAAAATGCATTAGAACAGTCCAGTTTCAAGATGACAAGGGCATGAGTTGCCATTCCTAAGGAATGAAGGATCCACTTCTGCCTCCCCTTGAGCATATATACAGAGGAAGAAGGTTCCAAAGGGACAAGAAAGATGATCCAGGTTTTGCTAGCTATGAGAGTTGGCCAGCTAAGTTTTAACTAGAGCCCTTGATTAACTCTTGGGAAATTTAGTTGCAACTCTATTTTAGAACAGGCATATTATCATTTTAGCAGAAGAAATACTGTTGCTGACAGGATGATAGTGTCTGAACTGTAAGGCAGTTACATCATAAAGCAATTTGCTATCCTCTGGTATCATTTTAAGGCAGATGCCAGGAAGAAGGAGATAACTACAGGTCTGTTCACATGCATTACCTGAATTCTGCTTTGTTAGATAGGCAACTAGAAATATAATTTTTTTCAAAGAAAGACATTGATGTCTTTTACCCTTGTAATGCTAAGAATAAAAGGAAAAAATGAAGGGTCCACAAGAAATACCATCCATGCTATATTCTGTCTGATCAATCCTGAGAACTTATGATAATGATCTTTTTGTCATTTATATAAAGAATAGGGTTTTTTTTTCAATTTTTTAGAAGATAAATCAGTTGATTTTAAAATTATATTGCTCTGAATTAATTTAAACACATAGCTTAATGTGTGTGGTAATAATTATGGCTATTTTTCTTACCCAAAACAATTCCAACTAGCAAGGGGATTTTTGCATTATTTTAATGACTGGGAGAATTTTACAATCTTAAATTATGACTTGAATTACAAAGAAGTTACACTGACTTCTTGAACTAATCATTTTTATGAAACATTTGGGTTAGTAAATTAGACTTCTGAAACATAAGTCTTTACCATTTATGCTGCAGTGGTAAAATAACATTTCCCTTATCACACA